TTACAACATTCTGCTATTACTCATAATGGTTTCGCAGAGGCGACTGCTTTCGATCGGCCTACACTACAGTTAACAGGGGTTACTGCGGTGTATTTTGGCTCGCTATAAAACATTATAATAATTAAATGCTCTTTGCTAGTGGTGTTGCGTTTTCCTCGGGTGGGGAGACTCCGCGATTTACGTTCGACTGACTTCAATGGCGTAGTCTTTGGCGTGTAGTCCTGCCACCTTTACTGGCAATGAACATTAACAGACTCAAGTTATTAACTGAAATTATCAATTTTAATGATTTTATGATATTTCTAATTAAATGACGAGATTTTAAATAAAGCGGCTGTGAATCAATTTCACAGCCAAATTATCCCAAATCGGGTGTTTTGTTTTGCCAGTAAACTGAGCTCGTTAAACGCAACACCTCGTGAAAAGCAGGAAGGCAAAGACATAAATAAAAATATTTCCTACGGAAATATAGGTTTTTATGTCAAGCCTGAATTATAGTGATAAGATAAAAGTAGGAAATAGTTAGATTGGATTGTGGCAGATTAAGGTGGGACTTGGCGGAGAAGGAAATTCCGGTGCTTTTACCTACGTAAGAAACATTAAGTCAAGGCCAAATTTTAGCTACTAAAAGCAAAGCAAAGTTATTCACTTCTCAATTCAACCTTTCTCGTGATCGAGTGCAGACATACGAATTTTCTTCCCACCTCCTCCCGCTGGCCTGCCGCTTTGTATTTTAGTTTGTTGTCTTTTCTTGTACATATCATTATTATACCTTTTTTGCCTAATTGGCGTGTAGTCCTGCCACCTTTACTGGCAATGAACATTAACAGACTCAAGTTATTAACTGAAATTATCAATTTTAATGATTTTATGATATTTCTAATTAAATGACGAGATTTTAAATAAAGCGGCTGTGAATCAATTTCACAGCCAAATTATCCCAAGTCGGGTGTTTTGTTTTGCCAGTAAACTGAGCTCGTTAAACGCAACACCTAGTGAAAAGCAGGAAGGCAAAGACATAAACAACGCAATGTTTTGATAGATCTAAAGTGCTTTTCCGGTCAGCGTAAAATTTAGATATTTTGAAATACCGAAATAAAAGATGCAAATCTGTTGATACAAGCTTGAAAATAACACTCTAAATAGTGTTTTGGATTGTGATTCGAACAAGACTATTAGGACAAAGATATCTTGAAAGGGGCCGAAGTTATGTTCGGCGAAAGGTATGTCTTTGTGATACATTTTATTACATTTTTACATTTTTCGGGAATATTGTTAAATCTAATAAAAAGTCGTAAATCGCTATAATGTTGATATTTTATTATATCTATAGATAGGAATTTTCTCACTGAATCGAATGGTATTATTTTCATCTATATAGCATGCACTGAACCGAAGATATGAACCTGCAAAATACCAGGTCGGTTTCGACCAAGTTATTTCAGCGCCAAACGAAAAATGGTAAATTGATGTATATTAAGATTAAGAGGGTACAAAAAGGGAACCATGCGTACGATTTAGGGTCAGACAAACGAAGCGTTCAATTGTCAGTGCGACAGGACAAAGATGTGGTTAAAAAGAAAACTTAATATATTGTGGAATATAGTATTACTAATTTGGGGTCTTTGTTGACCAAGGAGCCGCCCAGAGATCTTCTTCAATGAGGCGAGTTGAAGAGGCAGAGTAATAAAGAAACACAGAGTTTGTAGACCGAGACAGTGTCTACACAGAAGTTCAACCTAGAAGAAGTCCGCCGCTGAACGCGTCAAGATATCAACTCAGTGACGATTGAAGCTAGATTAAAAGCGTGGAACTGAAAGCACAGTTAAAAGGTGGAGTCGAAAGAGCTACAATCCTGGACAAAACATCTGCGACACTTCCACTTACTTGACAAAATGTCGTAATATTGTCCTAAATTTATTAATTAGAAAACCTGCCCCTTTCCCCCACCATTCAATGTTGATGATATATTCGTAGAATACGGATAAAACGTCCAACATTGTTTTTTTTTTTTGGGGGGGGGGGGCAAACGAGTAAATTATTCCAGTCTAACTGGTAGAAAAAGCCACAAAGGATTGCTTTAATACAGTTTCGCAGATGGTTTTGTCCAGGATTGAATCCTGGACAAAACATCTGCGACATTTCCAATTACTTGACAAAATGTTGTAACATTATCGTAAATTTAGAAAACCTCCCCCTTTCCCCCACCATTCAATGTTGATTGTATTCGTAGAATATGGATAAAACGTCCAACATTGTTTTGGGGGGTGGAGGGGGGCAAACGAGTAACTGGTAAAAAAAGCCACAAAGGAACGTTTTAATAGAGTATCGCAGATGGTTTTGTCCAGGATTGTAGCTAGCTAAACCTTGCCGTACCCTTTTTATCGTATGTATTAAGATTAGCTATAGTGTTGAGACTGCATGTAGGCTTAGAGTATTACAAAAATTATATAAAACCTTCGCAAACAGTTTGGATTGATTACCGGCACCAACAAGACGAAGTTAAATTCGTTACAGTAATCCAGAACCAAATTAGGCCTTTTTTATAAACTTTTTTCCTTTAAATGCGGCATTTTAATACAAATTAATGGACATTGACTCTCGTGCCTTTCGGCGCTTGTTAATTGCCACTATAGTAGTCTGTCATGCACAGTGCAATGTGATCTCGCATGGTAGTAGGTTTATATTAATATGTAATATACAGGCTGTATGAATCAAAACAACCGACTCAAAAATTGAAATTAAAGAACTAGATATAGCGCATCTCTAATGCATATACATGTAAATCAAGCGTGACCACCACAAACCTACTGTGATTCTTCTGAGTTCTCAGAAGTCCTTAAAATTCTATTTATTGTATGGTGGGGTAGGATACATGTTGTCTAAAACGAAATTGGCTATTGGTGGTCCTCTCTCTTAACTTGCCGGTAAATAACAAATGATCATGGGGCCAGTATTCTGGCATCAAACATTGCACACTGAATTCAAAAGAATGCCCAATCAA